ACTCGGTTTCTTGGGAAGCTCCTCAGCCCTGGGACTCAGGTTTTCCACGAAAAGTTGTCAGTCTGGGCCATCCAGTGCCCACATGTGCATGTGTAGAGAAAGCTGCTGCTTGGATCTGACTCACTCAGACTTATATAAGCTGTCGATATCCTGAGTTCATTCCCTTTGGATGAAACTCAGGTGGTGTTATCGTGAAAGTCTAGTTTTGTTGCTTTTTTTTCCTCTCTCTCTCTCCGTTCCTTCTCAGTTACACAGTATCACGACCCAAATCTTTAGCACTTGATCTATATAGCCAAGAGCCCTGAAACCCATAGGGCCCGGGCAGTGGACACAATTGGGCCAGCCAGTGGGCATCAGGTCACAGAGAATTCTTAATCACTTGAGCCTGCTTCATCGGAAGAAGTGAGTTACTTATAGTCAGCCTTTTTTTTTTTTAAGTCAGATATTTTTTATTTATTTATTTTTGGCTGTGTTGGGTCTTCATTTCTGTGTGAGGGCTTTCTCTAATTGCGGCGAGTGGGGGCCACTCTTCATCGCGGTGCGCGGGCCTCTCACTATCGCGACCTCTCTTGTTGCGGAGCACAAGCTCCAGACGCGCAGGCTCAGTAGTTGTGGCTCACGTGCCTAGTTGCTCCGCGGCATGTGGGATCTTCCCAGACCAGGGCTCGACCCCGTGTCCCCTGCATTGGCAGGCAGATTCTCAACCACTGTGCCACCAGGGAAGCCCCCAAGTCAGATATTTTTAACCCAACTTTTTTCCAGAATCCCTTGTAGTGCCTGACTCTGAGTCCAGCCAGACAAGCTCCGTCAGTGTCGGTTGAATTGAATGTAAATCGATACTGTGCCCATTTTAACCCCTCACTCGACCCAGGAGAAGCTGGGACCCCGGCTCCTTTCCAGTGCCACAGCCTGTGAAAGGCAGCCTTCTCAGCGCTAGGCCAGAGGAGGCTTTTTTTTTTTTAAGTGATTTACTGTTTTTATTCTGATTAGATAAGGAATACATGAGGTTTTTTTTTAATTGGGTAAATATTGAAAAGTATAAAGAAGAAAATTAAAATCACCCAATAGCTCATTACCCAGAGACAACTACCATGGATATTTTCCTGTTTTCTCGAACTTAACGCTCATGAAGAGGTGCTCTGTATCCATCCTGATTTCTCTAAGGATTGGGGGAAATGGGGAGAGGGGTAGATTATAGTCTTTCTAATCTTTTAGCTTCAGGTATTATTGGGATATATGTACACATACATATATACATATATTTATATAGATATATATTATTAGGAAATATATCATTAGGATATGATGTATATAATACACACATATATAATATATATCTCTCTAACATACACATATGTATATTTTATTAACATCTTTATTGGAGTATAATTGCTTTACAGTGTTGTTTTAGTTTCTGCTGTATAGCAAAGTGAATCAGCTATACGTATACATATATCCCCATATCCCCTCCGTCTTGTGTCTCCCTCCCAACCCTCTAGGTAGTCACAAAGCACCGAGCTGATCTCCCTGTGCTATGCGGCTGCTTCCCACTAGCTGTCTGTTTTACATTTGGTAGTGTATATATGTCCATGCCACTCTCTCGCTTTGTCCCAGCTTACCCTTCGCCCTCCCCATGTCCTCAAGTCCATTCTCTACATCTGTGTCTTTATTCCTGTCCTGCCCCTAGGTTCTTCAGAACCTTTTTTTTTTTTTTTAAATTCCATATGTATGTGTTAGCATATGGTATTTGTTTTTCTCTTTCTGACTTACTTCACTCTGTATGACAGATTCTGGGTCCATCCACCTCAGTACAAATAACTCAATTTCATTTCTTTTTATGGCTAATATTCCACTGTATATATGTGTCACATCTTCTTTATCCATTCATCTGTCGATGGAAACTTAGGTTGCTTCCATGTCCTGGCTATTGTAAATAGTGCTACAGTGAACATTATGGTACATGTTTGAACTGTGTCAGTTAGCTGTTGTCACAATAGTGCTCTTTGACAAACTACTCTCAAACTCAGTGGTTTAAAACAAAAATCATTTGTACTTGCTCACACTTCTGTGAGGAGTAGGCTGGGTGTTGGCTGATCTAGGCTGGGCTTAGCTGAGTGGCTCTAATTGAAGGTGCAGGTCTGACTGGGCATGGCTTCTGACTCTGGGTTGGGCTCCTGTCCACTCCCCATGTGTTTTTTCTGGGGTGCAGGCTGAAGGGACAGCAGCTGCCCAGAGAAGCTGTTCTCTTGGTGCCAGCAGAGGCACAAGAGGACAAGCCCAACGGGGCAAACACATTCCAAACCTCTGTTTGTGTCATGTCTGCTAACATCCCATTGGCTAAGTCAGGTCACATGGCTGCACCCAAAGGGTCAGGGAAGTACATCCCGCCCACCATGAAGCCAAAGCAAATCATGTGACCCAACATCAGTGGGTCGGGGGCGTATATACTCTTCCCATGGAGGTGAAGGGGGAAGGGAGGGAATTTGTTTTAGAATAATGGAATCTACCCACATCCTAAATATCTACTGAGATACTCGGTTTTTTGAGATTCAGATGAAATCTGCTCAGAATTCACCTGGCCAGTGCTATCATCCAATCTCACCAGGAAACCTCTAGCCCAGAGCTCCTCTACCCAGTGAATTAGTTCCATTTACAGATCATTTGAGTTGTCCCTATTCCATGCTTATATTCCTTTCCTTGATTCCTCCCAAAGTAATTTACACAGATGTGTGTAAAAGGTTTGCTGAACATTTGGAACAGCAAAGGTTGATATCTCTTTGTTTATATATTGGTGTTGCTTGGCCCGTCTCCTCTAGATTCTGTTTGCATTTCAGCCCACACACAGCCTCTCAAGTCAAAGCTTGCTGAAGAATTACCTGGGTCTCAGAAATCCTGAAGATCTCATCTTGGCTGAGCTATGACTTTTTTGCAACTTGGTTCAGCTTTTTCATTCATTCAACATACTTGTATTGAGCATTTGTGCCCTCACCATGATGAATTTATACTCTAGTAGGGGAAATTAACAATGTGTGTATACTCTAACACAGAGTTTAGAACTATTAAACCTTGGCAATGTTGATTTTGGGGGGGCGCAAATCATTCCTTATTGTGGGGGGGTGTCCCGTGCTTTGTAGCATGTTTATCAATTGCTACCCATTAGATGCCAGTAGCACCAACTCTACTCTTCTTGAGTGATGGATAGCCACAATATCCCCAGACATTGCCAAATATGCCCTGGGGGACAAAAGCACCTTGGTTGAGAACCATTGCACTAACATATAGTAGACTTGATAAGACCTCTGGTCTTATTATTTCCTGGTGGTGAATCTGTGAAAGCCTCATGGGGTGGATGATATCTGCGTTAAGACTTCAAAAATGGTTAGGGTTTAGAAATGAGTTTCTTGAAGGAGGGAAAATCATGGGGCACAAATGGACAAATAAGGAGTAGCTCTGTCTAAAGCATAAAATGAAGTAGACTTATTGGTAAGAATGGAGGCTCTATAGGTATTAGGAGGCTAGATGCTGTCATCAGAAGGACTGCCACTTTTACTGTGAGGGAAATGATCAGTATATCTGAAGCTGTGTTCATTTGGAGGGGACACCATTACACACAGTGTTTGTCTTCATAACCCAGAGTAATTGCTGCAAAGTCTTATCCATCCAGAGGTCATTTTTCTGATGCCTAGTAAGGAAACAGAAAAGGCCTCTGAGGGATACAGTGCAAAAATCCCATGGCTGTATCTTGGTGTTCCTTACCCCTCAGAAGATCTCACTAGCCAGTTCCCAACAGCAGATTAGAAGATGGAAGAGGAGCAGGGGGAGGCAGGCATAGACTCTGCAGAAAAGCTTCCAGCCCGACACAGGGAAGGAGACCAAAAGCAGAACTGAATGAATGAATGATAAATTCAGACCAAACGATTTGGAAGCATAATGATCTGGAGTCCTGTAGGCGGGGAACATCCATCCCTTCATAACCTCCAAAGACATTGGTGCATTCCAGCACCACCCTAGTATACCAGCACACTCAGTGTGTAACAAGGCAGGGCATATGTGAAGTACTGTAGAGCCCATGTGGCTAGAGTTTAGCACCGGTTAGGAACAGGGTCTAGAGTTACACTTCCTGGCTTGAACCCTAGCCTCAAGGCTCTGCACCAGTAAACTAGTTCCTTAACCAAGCCAAGCCTTCATGATCTCATCTGTAAAATGAGAATTCCCGGCTCATAGGGTCATAGGGTCATTGGGAAGGTTAAATACAATAATCCATATGAATTCTTAGCTCAGCTCTTGGCACAGATTTAGTGCTCAAGAAAAGTTAAATGGTTGTTACTATCATTTCATTGCAAGAATAGAGCTGCCAAGACTTCCCCCAAATCATCACTGTAGCTGCTGTTCTGGAATATTCCCAGAGTCTCCTGGCTGTGCTGAAATTTCCTTTCCAGGAAATAGATAAGAGGGTTGTAAAAACTGAGGAAAGTTTCAGAAGAGTGGGGGCAGTCATATCAGTCCCTTCCATCTCCTGTCTTCTTGGTAGTAGAGGTTAGGCCACTGAGGAAGGTGACAGCAGGTTCCCAAGGGTACTGGCCATCAGCCATTTCTCGGCAACATATACCCTTTGAGCAAGACTGGCTCTTCACCTGTGGCCAAGCTGACAGAGGAGCAGTTATTCTGAGATAGAAGAGAGTGTGTCCTATGCTGTGCAAAACCATCTACCTCCAAGTTAAGAATGTACACGTGAAGAGAAGGGGAGGCCCCAAAGCAAACTGCAAAGTGGCAGCAGTGACCTGGTGGCAGCACCTCTGGGTTGGTTTCCTTTGATCAGTGTCTGCTTAGTGGCAAAGCTGGAAACACACGATGCTCTGTGAGGTAAAGCCTTGGCCGGGTACCACAGCATCATGTAAAATGCAGACCGCCAGGAAGTCACCCAGCAGGAAGAAGCTGCTCTCTGGTCCAGGGGTGGCAGGACAGTAGAGTAACCTGTCCTCTGTTTGTGTGTTTTCCAGGCTGGAACAGGAAATACAAGCACTGGAAAGTGAAGAGTCCCAGATATCTGCCAAAGAGCAAATCATCCTAGAGAAACTAAAGGAGACAGAAAAATCCTTCAAGGACTTTCAGAAGGTGAAGGAAACAAATGTGACTTCTCAGTTATATCCCTGAGGAAGTAAGCGCTCGTAGAATGGTGCCAATTGGAGAAAAGGCCGGTTGGTATTGATGAGAAGACTAAGCCACACACTCTGAGGGGCAGATGCGTGAGGACCAGTGCCATCTCTGAAGCTGAGAGTGGCCTGTCTTCAGGGGTGGGTCCACCTGGCCCACCAGAAGCACAGAGAAGAGTCATGAAATTAACCCCATCTCCCTACGGTCCAAACCCTTTATATGCCTAATGCCTGAAAAGTCATCTCCCATTAGACCCTAGAATTCTAAAACCAATTCTTACGAAGCAGATTAAACAGACTCCCTGTGGCTTGAAGTCTTTCCTTTATAAAAAGGCCAAAGACAAAACCATATCAAATGGGCATGAACTCCAAAAACAAAGCATCAGTGAAACATGAAATTTTACCGTACAGGCATGCCTCGGAGGTATTGCAGGTTTGGTTCCAGACCACTGAAATTAATCAAATGTTGCAATAAAGTGCATGTCATGAATTTTTTGGTTTCCCAGTCCATATAAAAGTTATGTTTATACTATACTGTAGTCTGTTAAGTATGCAATAGCATTATGTGTTTAAAAAAATATGCACGCCTTAATTAAAAATAATGCTGTTGGAACAATGGTGCTGACAGATCTGCTTAACTGGGGGTTGTCAAAAACCTTCAGTTTGTAAAAAATGCAATATTGAGGCCCAGTAAAATGAGGTATGCCTGTCTGTGAAAACAGACGGTACTGTGTAGCAAAGGGAGAATCCATAAAGCCAGCAGGCTGTGAATCACTCAGGACCCTCCCTCCATTTTATAACACATGTTTCCCCAGGTACCCAACAGTTGATAGGAAAGCAGTCTAATCACATTCATTTTAAGGTGGGATTTTCTGATGTCATTTCTCCAACACAACCCAGGGTATTTGCTGAATAATTGAAATATATCTCTTGTAGGAGAAATTCGGGGTAAGGTGGGAAGGGTAAACCTTTCCCTTAAATTTCAGGATCCCAAACAAATTTCCCAGAAGGAAAGAAAGCATGGGGTTTGCCCACCACAGTCAAGTTCTGGGGGAGAAAGATGGGTTAAATGAGTGAGGGGTCATCTCCCCACGTGTGTAGTGACGCTCTGCCCTGCTTTTGTTTCCACAGAGCTTCTCCAGTACGGATGGAGGTAAGTGTAAGTGCTCTCTCCCCATCTGTACCTGAATGTTTTCATCCATCAGCTTAGTGGGTTTCATTAACACAGGCTCACCAGGAGACGCGATGTGTTGGTTTGTAAGGGCATCAGAAAGAAGGGAAGTGCCGTTTGTGGGTGCTCAGGAGGGCCACGCCCCCCGTCTCCTCAGCCTCTCCTCTTCAAGGACTGCTTCTTGACCAACTCTTTCCAGGCTTACACAGTTGGCCTGGCTCTTCTCCTTCCCATTTGGTCCCCAAGGTTCACTGCTTTGATCTCTCTTGAAATATGTTCAGCCAAGAGTGCCAGCCTCAGGACCAGTTCCCTGGTAGGGATGAGGCCACTGGTGCTGGTGGTTAGGTCTCCAGGATACAGTATGCGGCAGGAGCCCATCATCTGATGTTTAGGAAACCTTCCTAAGGCCTCTGGTTTTACTTTGAATCAAAACTGCAGTTTCTCCAGCCTTCCCGGGAAACAGGGCTGGGCAGAACCTCCCTCCCTGTGGGGCATGGTTGGCCAGGAGCACGTGAAGGGTGGGAGCAGGGCCCCAGCTTCCTGAACCCCACCCTGGCAGGAGTGGGCCTTCCTCTGCTCTCCCCTCCCCTCCGCTCTCCTTCACTGGGGCCATGTGATGAACTTGGGATTGTGTGCTTCTCAGCCTTCACCTTGCTCCTCTGTTAGCTACAAACTCATGCAAACCACTTGATTCCCTCTTTCCCTCTGGCCCTCAGCTAGACTTGTCTTAAAATGCCGGGACTTGTCGGAAGATCAGATACCATCTGCTCACCTGATTCTTATGAGGTCAACCTCTAAATTAGGAAGATGATCAGGAGCCAGAATAAGTGTTGGCATCAGTGTTTTCCCAATGTCTTTTGGAAATGTATGGTTAAAGATTTTAAAATGCAGAGACGGATAATGCATTCTTCTGGATTAGCAAAGATCCTTGCAATCACGATAATTCTAACTTCAGCAAAAAAGAAAACAAACAAAAAAACTGGTTTGTCTGGGTTCTCCCCGCCACCCTGCAGCAAGTAAAAGGCAGGGGATCTGGATTTTGGCTCCTTGGGCGATCTTTGGGAAGGTATTAAATTAAATTCATGTGTCCAGCGCATATGCTCAGAGGCAAGTCAGGGCCGAGCAAGCAGGGACTCCAGGAGGAAGACTTTCAGTAGTTCTAGAACCTTTTCTAGGGTGTGGCCAAATCAGGACATTTGTTCTGTGCTTTGGGGGTGGAGCATGGACTGAAGAGGTGGCCTTGCCTACTATGGGGAGTTGAGGGTGGCAGCATGGGAAGGATAGCGGGCTTCCCTCGTGCTAGGGCTGCCCAGAGGCCGTGTAAGTGATCAGCAGTAACACAGTGTCAGACATCGACCCACAGATACCCACATATCGGAAGCGTCCACATCAACTTTTTTTTTTTTTTTTTTTGCGGTACTCGGGCCTCTCACTGCTGCGGCCTCTCCCGTTGCGGAGCACAGGCTCTGGATGCTCAGGCTCAGCGGCCATGGCTCATGGGCCCAGCCACTCCGCGGCATGTGGGATCCCCCCGGACCAGGGCACGAACCCGCATCCCCTGCATCAGCAGGCAGCTCCCAACCACTGCACCACCAGGGAAGCCCCACATCAACTTTTTATGCTTTCACTTCTTTTTCTCTCAAACCAGGGCCTTTCCTAGACTTCTCTCTCTAATTAGGGAAAGGATGGAGCCTGCATGTCATGTCCCAGGGAAAGCTGTGTGGGCCATGGAGACCCATGTAGTCTACGACTTGTTAACAAGCATCCATGAAGCCATGTTATAAACTCTCACTGCTCTCTTTTTCGCTTTCACCCTGAACTTCTCTCATTTCCGCCTGTACTGTGTACTTCCCACTATTTTCATCTGTTCACCTAAGTAGTTCATAAAGATGGTAAGAAACACGATTGTGACTGAGAAGGGAACCTACAGAGAAAAATCACCTTCATGATTCCATCCTTCATCACTTTTTGACAGGATGGGTGAGCTCAGGCTTAAAAGGATGCAGAAGTCTCAGGGATCCCAAGAAGTGGCCAGGGAAAAGTTTCCATGGCCTTGTCACCCTGGATGATGATTCCTACTGTGTCTGGTTATAACTAAGTCTGGGGAGACCTTTCCATTACACCAATCTGCTGGCAAAGAAAAGTTTGAAGGAGGGAGCACGTCCTTCCAAGAATGCAGTCAGTGTTTATAGGCCACTCTGTGGTCTGAGGGTAAAAACTCATCATGAAGCACATCCAGTTGAGGGACTTTGGGATGTCTAAATCTTTTCTCTTTCTTTGATTTCAAAGTGCCAAGACCCTCTTAGAATCAACCAATTGTTGTTACTAAGACCTAACAAAAAAATGATTGTAGAATAATGATGCTTAGGACAAATACCCAACTTCCGAAACACGATGATTACAGAATCCAGGCCCAACTGAAATTATATAACTGGACCAGAGGCTGCAGATAATCAGCAGAAGCGTCTCCAGTTTAATGAGTTGCCAAGGAGTCGGCAGCTAGCGTGTGCATGTGTAACGACCGCTGTTCAGGTACCCTGTGCATGTCTCCCTGTGCTTTTCAGAGAAAACAAAGGTACTGGACTGCTGGATCACCGATGGTTTTTAACTACATGGTAGCCTTGGCAATCAAGAGCAATGTATTCCAATCTGGAGTAGAATTTCTTGGCAACATACATTCTGACCCCCCCTCACTTCCTCCCCACCCCACCCCACATACACACTTGTTATATGGCAGAGTCCTCATCGATTGGGTGGGTGGTTTTTACTGCCCTAAATAGGCACAGTGTTTTGTGTAAGTATAAATTGCATGTGGTATGTACCTAGTGCTACCTCTGTTCTTTACCCACCGAGGAGCTGGTGTGAAACCCTTGGCCAGAGCTGGCAAAGGAAAATGTCTGTCCTGGGCCCATCTCATCCTTGCTGTTTGAGACTGATCTTTGTAGATTTCCATCCCATCCCAGTCTGGGGTGGCCTGGGATCTTTCCCACATCAAAACCCTCATACCAGGGACTTCCCTGGCAGTCCAGTAATTAAGACTCTGCAATTCCTTTTCAGGGGGCACGGATTCGGTCCCTGGTTGGGGAACTAAAATCCCGCGTGCCACAGGGTGTGGTCAAAAAAAAACCCAAAACAAAAAAACACCTTCATACCAATTGTTGGGACAGCTCAGTGTGTCTTCAGTTGCCCAGAAGCCACGATTTCAGGAGAGTTTTCATCAGTTTTGCTCCTCTAGCTTTAGCTGTTTATGTTCTTCATAACGGTTTCAGCAGTGCCAGAACTAATGAGAAGCACTCACGTTACATCTCTGCTCTGTAAGTGGCTGTTCTCTGCCTTCTCGGGCGGTGGGAAGAAGCATGATAGCCCACCCTGACTTTGGCAGGAAGAGGGCAGTTTACTGACTGAGGCCACATGAAGACATCTCCCTGTGGAAGCTTCGGAGGCCCTGTTTCTTATTCCTTGTGTTGGTCTATCAGACACCCTCCCTGCTACAGAACCTTAGGGTTTACTACTTAATGATATTTTGAGGGGCTGCCCTGTCCTTTTCCTCATGCCCCACTCCTCGCCACCCCTTTATCTCTTAGCAGAAGCCATGGCTCCCCAGCCCCACAAGAGCTGCTGTCCTCAAGCCTGTAGCCAGTGACCACTGGGCAAAGGTAACTCCATCACCCACTCACATCTGGCAGGGAGCAGCCTCTCGGGGAGCCTGAAACGTAAGCAATAGGAATCACATGAAGAATTCCCCACCTGTGAGTGGCTTTTATTTCTGGCTGCTAAAACTTTCAGAATGCAAAGATGTCCTGGAAATTCTATATGTAGCATAGGATGTACTAGACACGTGTGACCAGTCCACAGAGTCTTACCTGGTCTTAACGGCTTGAGTCTCCATCTCATGTGAATGCAGGAAGTCAGATTTACTGTGATTGCCATTCCACGGATTTCTGGAAATCCTCAGGGAAGCTCAGAAGTTCTGCACATTTGCTCTGGTCATCTCTTGTCCCCTAAACTGTCTCTCTAACCCCACACTGCTGCTCCCTCCTTCCCATGGGCCACTGTTAGCAATCTCCCTCTACCCGCTCAAGCCCCACTTACCCCCAGCTGCTGCTATCTCTGGTCCTGCCTTGTGCTACCTTGGGGCCCAGACCCTTCCCACAGCTCCCCAGAGTGAGAGCAGAGGCTGCAACCTAACTTGAGGAATGCTGGCAGGGCAGCTCGACATGGAGAATAATGGGCAACTTTGGACATGTGGCCACACTCAGAGGCTCTGGCTCCAATCCAGGCCCCTTTCAGAGGGCCCCTACAGGCTGCTTCATGGCCATCTCCCAGCCCACCATCATCTCAAAGGGCCATCTTCCTTCCTTGCAGTGAAGGACCTTCAACCATGTCTGCCCGACCCAGGGCCCAACTCCAGCACACATGAGGCCCCAGGGAGAGACAGTAACCAGAGCCTCACTCCAACCCAGGGCCTGCCTGCCTGCTGACTCCTGACTTCCTGTTCTGTCTCCCCAAAGGGTTGATATAGACGAACCCATTCTCTTAGAGAAACTCCACCCCATCCACTCCCACAGAACACGATGGTCCAATGTCAGTATATTCTGGGTTATTCAGACACACGTGAGTCAGCAGTGGTCTAATGGCCATATAACTGAACTAATCCTAACCTGGTGTCTGTCTGCAGTCCTCTCCTCATGAAATTTAAAAGGGAAAAAAGAAACTGCCAGAGCTAAGGCCGTATCGATGGGGATACACAGGACGGGACAGATGCGGGAAGTGGGTAGAGGCTAGGGACTAACTGGCCACTGGGAGGGGGAGTTAAGGACACCACCCAGGATCCTGGGTGAATTATGGTGCCAGTGAGCTGCAGTACATTGTACAGGAGAAGCAGCAGATGAGCGGAGATGGGAGCTCCATTTTGGACATGTTGAGCATGAGGTGACTATGGGCCATTCAGTGGAAGTACGCGGTAAGCAGATACATGTGATCATTGATGAGTGATTGACATTCCAGGATTTTGGGATGTGGCCGTGACACAAGGAAGGAATCACATCACCTAGAGCCCAGCTTTCTAGAATGTTCCTTCGCTTTCCCACTTCTCTCTGGGGGATACACAGATTCTTCTCCTTGTTTCACATCAGTGGTTTCCTCCTCTCCTCTAATACTTTGGCATGCCTGTTGACTTCCGTGTCCTCCATCTCCCTAAGTGGGCTTTCAAGGTATTTTCCCGAGCAGAGCTGGTCTCCCTCTGTCACACGGCCTCATTTCTTGCAACTGAGCTCATGGTGAGTTCACTGGGTGCTGTTATTTGGAATCTCAGGATTTTCTAGCTGAAACACCAGCCAGAAGTACTGAAATTGTGGGATAAATTCTGGAATATTTTTTTAAATGCCTACAAAATTAGTCTTCTGCGTGAATCAGGCACATAAAGCTATTTTTCCAGTTCTGCTTAAGGCACGTTTCTAGTTTGAGGTCCCACATTTGGCCAATTCCACCAAATTTATAATGGCTCTCACTAGTCCATCTCTCTGTCTCTTTTTTTTTTTCCCCCCCTGAACTCATTGTACTCTTAGAATCTAGAGCTTTCTGATGAATCTTTTAATACATAGAGCTGTCCTGGGGCTTGAGCTCTCTGGCCAGGATCTCTCCTACCTCAGCTACTCTACTGAATACCAGTCACTGGGCAAATGCTGGTCTTTGTTTACCCTGATCCTCTCTTGCAGTGGCCGCCTCTGTGGTCCATTGTGTAGGGCAGACAAGCTGCTGTCTCGGCAGTGAACCCATTGGGCCTCCCAACACTGTGCCTAATTGTATTCCCTGTTCTCTGCTACCAGATGCAGTAAATTACATTTCCTCCCAGCTCCCCGACCTGCCAATCCTCTGTTCACGAACAGCACAACCGTCACCTGGGCAGGACGGAACCAGCAGGGCAGCTGGTAAGTCCTGGGGAGCTGTTTGGTTTTGATGCCAGGACTGACCATGGGGCTTGCGTTTCTCTGAGCTTTAATAATGAGGGTTGCCCAGATATCCTTACATAGGGGGACCCTGTCCTCAGCACAGCTTCAGATGTAGAGTGGCCACACAGGGCAGGCACTGGGCCCTGCTGGGTGTCTGAGGACCAAAGGGGAGGGAGTATTGAGAAAATCAGAAAGCATTTTTCTTCCCACTTCAGAGGAGTCTGTCTTGTGTTTGTGGTCTTTATAGCTGTCCTCATTCTTAAAGTTCATTTGCACTCTGCCTCCAGGGAATTTTATTTTCCATATTGGAATAGTACAAGATCAAATGAGCTATGCCAGGAAGCTGGAGGGAAAGTATTTTCAAAGCGTATGAGTATGTTGCTGGAATCCTTTGGGAGTCGAGCTGTGTGTATATTGTGAACATATATATTCTCAAAGTCTTCCCATTTCTGGAGTTATTTAACTACTATGGTATGTTTGGGAAATAAAAGGAGCAACTTAAAGAATATATGTTTCTTGCTAATGTTTCTCACAATTGTGGATTTTAGAAAATAATACACTTGTGAGTGTAAAGCATATAGAGAGTTCTGCTTTCCTCTGTTCAATGCGAACGTGCCTCGGAAATCAGAACTGGACAACCGTGAACAATAAATCTCTATACCGATCTTTTTGCTCTTCACAGAATTGCACTGAGGGCCGGGGTTGAATGGAAAAATGAACTGCCAAGGTTGTACAGTTCGTGACAATGTAGGTGAACTTGAATCTGAACATCAGATTATGCTTTATATAATCTAGGTAAATTTATGTTTAAAATAAGTCACCTAAGGACACCTTTTATAAGACAAAATAATCATGGACCGTTGAGTCAGAGGAAATCCTTTGTACAGGCCAACCTGAATATTTTATGAAGCAAATAGTCCCTCCTTATTTTAATATAAAAGTAAAATAAAAGGGCAAGCAAGTATTGACATAATTGTCACGCGCACTGGCTAAATTTCAGTATCTACCGAGTGTCTCTGTAAACATCCTAGCATCGTGTTACTTTTACATACAGACTCACGGGGTTCTAGAGTTGGGGTGGGGGGAGGCGGGGAGGACTGTAAATTGTGTCTGGTCAAACCCAGGCCAGGCCAACAGATCCCCGGATAGTTAAAGGATAAGCCAGACTTGCAGCCTACAGTCATGCTACAAAGGAACCATTGGCAGTGACTTAAGCTGTGGATTCTTTTAAATGCTCCAAAATGCACTTCTGAGACCAGCTGGGGATAATAACTCTTCAAAAGTCACATACCTCCCTGCTTGTTATTAGTATTGGTAGTTCCCAATAGCTGTGCATAAACAGCTTTGCAGCCCCTTTCCACATGTTTCTGCACCTCACAGGACATGCAGTATGACCCAACTAATGGATCGGCTCATGGAGGTGGGGTAGGGACAGTGTGTGGGGACTGATTTTTAAGAGATATGAAAAGGATTGGTAGACAAGCAATGTAAAGTTCAAGAGTGTTCTGTTGCTGGGATTGTAGTGCTGTGTGCATAAGAATACACATACTGTTACGAGCTAGCATCCTTCATCTTCAGAGATACTGTAAAAACATAAAGATCCAAGTAGCAAAGGCATTTTTTAAGAAGTATTATGTGCTCAAAATCTTCTAAAAAATAAGCTTACATGTATTTTTGTTTATTAGTTAAGAACTAATGTGCATAAATGTATCTCCTGTGGAAATACACAGACGCACAGTCTTGAAAGGAATTGCCTTTGATGTGGTTAACTGCGTTGCCCAGGCTGTTTTTGAAGTAGAACATCCAGATTAATTGTCAGTTATGGCTAACAGTGACTACTCAGAGCGTGAATGGCACTCACCGTTAATGGAATTCTTTCTCCTAGATATAATCCATCTTGCTTTAGGAACGTCCTTTTGGAAATTTGTGCAATCTTAGGGCCATTTTAATAAATGTCACCGGTCATTACTCAGTATTATGACAAATATCCGATTGTTTGGAGTTTGGGAGGTTTTAGATTCTGTATAAATGGGAATTTATTTAGAATCATTGCTTTGCAGATTCAGGAAGCATCTATTCCAATCCCTCATTCAAACATGGAATCCGGGGGATAGAAGCCCTGCAAAGAGGCCCTCAAAAACCACAGTCACCCACCATGAGACTGGGTCTCCCTCCAGGTGGCCCATCCTGTCTATAATTGGTTCTGACAATTAGGAAGTGCTTCCTCTGATGGAACTCTCATTAGTCTGCTGCCTTCATCTTCTACCCATTGGTCCTTATCCTGCCCTCTGGAGCCCCTCAGAACAAACCTAAGTTCTGATTTCCCTGTAAGTAGTTGAAAATGGCAGTCAGGTCCTGTCTTTCCCAGGTCCTCACTTTCCATCCCCTTAATACCCACAGCCCCGGTTTCTTCAGTGGGTCCTGAGACGATGAGGTTGCTTTGACACCCTCTGCCATGCGTGTCCCTCCCCTCTGAACGCTCCCCGCTTTGTCTCTGAAGTACGAGGCTCAGAGCTGCCGAGCGTGCGCACTCTGGGCTGAGCCTGTCACCCCACAGAGCGGGGCTTGATGCCACAGACCATGTGACTCACTTGGTTGCCATCATAGCCTTCCAGCTTCGGGCTCTAAGGTAAAGCCTCAGAGGCATGTGACATGTGCCACTACTGGGCCTCCTTTCCTTTGTCCAGTGGACCCACCACTCCAGAATCATTTCAGTGGCGACGAGCGGTCTGTTCCCCACAACTGCACACATACTGCTTCACCTTATCACGTGCAGAAGAACCCACAAAATCCTTTATTTCTAATCTCGAGAGGCAAAAGTAAGGATGAGCTATGCACCTGTCGGCCTTAGGAGATTTCACATGACTATTAAATTTCTTCTTGTTAAAGTGTCCCTCGGGAGTGTCGGGGGGCCTGGGGTCACTGAGGAGCCTCCGGAAGGTGGGGAGGGCTTGAGGTGAGGGGACTTGGCAGTCAGGTCCCTGGTGTTCTCTCCCATTTCAAGCACAGCAGCTCCCCGGCGCTTGTGTTTCCATATTGTATTTCTGCATTAGATTTCATTTGAATAAAGGGTTTAACAGTTCTGAAAGGAGAAAACTGTCTTCTCTGTTGTCCGGGTTTTTACAGCTTGCGATTGTGGCTCCGAAGACACTAACTTTTCCTCTCAGTTAATTATCATCTCAGATCTGAAAAGCACACTTGCATTATTTATCATCATTTCCCTGATAAAGACGTTGAACAGTTGGAACCAAAGTCAGAGGCCTGCAGCTCGCCGTTAGGGATCCCCTGGCGCTTGGGAATCGTCACTCGGCACCTATGGGGCATGGCCCTTCAACCAGTGACAAGTTCTGGCAATCGTCCTGATATTCAAGGCACGTGTTTCTGCCTTGACAACTTAAGGACATAGGGGCTTTCTGATGATCCAGATATGCTGTATCTCTGGCATTTGCCTAATCTGCCTAGAGACCTTGAAGAAAAAAGAAAATGAGATTAATGTGCCTAGCTTCTGCTCTTTGAAAATTAACTCTAGAATTCAGCCAGCCCTGATGTCAAGCTGTTTCTATGTAGTTTATGGAATTCCTTCCTTCTCATTTTTGAAAATCAGAACTTTGAGTCACTGCCTCCAGCGCCTTTCCTGGTATATAAAATCCTTGAGACAAATTCATTGATACGGGAACTGGGGCCCAGGGCCGAAAGCACTGACAGCGTTTGTATCCCTGGGTGCTTTGTCATTTTCCAATCTTCTCTACTCATCTGGGTTTCAATGACCTCTTAGCAATTTCTTTCTGGCACTTTTCAGGCTGAAAACTGCCCTTCTTGACCAAAAAGACTGAAGCAAAATCGATATGAGAATTGGCTTTGGCCTTTGTTGTCCTTCAGCATCATGCCCTTGCTGACTTATTTTTGTTGAAACCACAGTGTCTTGGGAAAACAGTTGATTCGAAGAAATGTTTGATTACTGGTTTTTGAAGTTAGAGATTGCCCTCTGGGATGAGAGGGAGGGTCCACTCTGAATGAATGTCCTCATTTTCATTGTTATTGACATCACAATGCCAATTTTATATCTCCAACCTCAAGAGAAGGAGTGAACATAAATGTCTATGTATAATCATATACTCAAAGGGGTAAGACTGTACATATGTATGTTCATTTAGTAAGCCAAGCATATGTATTGTTTCTCTTCCACATTCCATGTGTAATGCCAGCTACTTGACGATCATTATATTGGGGGTGATCTCACCGCTGGGTGGTGGTCCTGGTCTGGCTGTCTATCACCCTCGTCTAGTACTTGACACATCACTGACTCACAAGCCACACAGGCTGTTCATGGCACCATGGAATATCAAAGCTGGATACCATATATATATATATTTATACACACACACACACACATATGTGTATATATGTATATATATGTATTTGTATAACTGAATCACTTTGCTGTCCCCCCGAAACTAACACAACATTGTAAATCAACTATACTTCAATTAAAAAAAAAATACCCTTCATTGTACAAATGGGAAAAATGAGGCCCCAACTTGAGATGTGACTTGAATAGGAATTCAGACTTACTGTCTTTCTCCCTCCCCCAACACCTCCCATCTTACTGACTGACGACAGTGGGGCGCGTCTTTTTATACTTTACACGTGGACCCTCAGCCTTATTCTTCTGCGCACTGGTCACAGTGAGTCAAAGGAAGTGAGCTGGGAGCAGCCTGGGTTGACAAATTTAACAGTGATTGAATGGTTCTGTCCTTACGGAGCACAGAGTCCTGTCTTGTGTGCTGTTGTCTCGATCCTGAAATGGAATCATGCCAGTTGATGCCCCCCTCTCCTTACTTGTGTCAGGTGCGATAATTAAATATATCATTTTATAAAGACGTACTTCCAAATTTCAGTCATCCCATCATTGCAATGTCCATTGGACTGTCTTCTTTCTTTTTTCTCTGTCTCCTGGTCCTTCCTCAAATACTTTTCTTTTTGTTCATGGGGCTCTTTCAAAATCTCTTTCAAGGGCTCCCCAGAAAGTTTCCTCCCCTGAGCAGTACCACCCTCCTCATTTTTTTTCAATAAGATGAGCTTAGATAACAAGCCCTTAACGATCCTCATCACTGTGTACCTGTGGCATGGGGAGCCTTGAGGAAAGAAAAGGGCAGATTCCAGAGTGTTCTTTGTGGTTAGAGATGAGGGCATGATGTAAGGGAGAGGAGAGGTCTTTGGTATACGCTACTTGGCAGGAGTAAAAAGCAGACGAGTTTTAAAAATTGTGTGCATGCCTCGTAAACAAAATATTGAATTTAAAATGTAAGTCTTATTTTCCTACTGGCTCATATCCACCCTCGTTCACATTTGGGATATTATTGGCTGAGAACTGGAGCAAAATAGAAATACTTATTCATAAACAGCACATTTAAGATAAATGTTCACACTTCCTGTGTGGTTTTCTGAATGTCTAATAACATTCTCATATATGTATCCATAAAGTCTAAGTATTGTCTTAAGAGAGTAGAAGTTTAAAGTTACCAGCCCTAAAAATGGCAGTTATGTGAGGGGGTGAAGGGGTTAACTAACCTTATTTTGGTAATCATTTTGCAGTATATATGTATATTGAATTATCACATTGTACATCTTAAACTTACATATGTTATATGTCAACAATATCTCAATAAATCTGGAAACAAACAAAAATATTGCCTTTGTGTGAACCAGAGCTTCTCGAAGTGTTTGCCTGGCTCCCCCTTACTAGAGAAGAGAGTGAAGGCAGACAAGGTATGTGAGACCAAACCTGAAGAAACCTGCTAAAAATCTGTGGTTCCTTTGAAGCCCAACATCTTATCTGGGGGAAAAAAAATACATATGGATGTTGTCTTCTATGGCATAACATATCTAGGTTTCTTTTATTATAAAAATGTCTTAAGGTGTTCTGCTCTCAGATTCTAGAAATACTGAAAGAACAGTGTATAACATATAAATATAACTATGAATCTGTAACCCTAATGAATCCATGTCACTTGTGGTTCAGTTCCAGAGCCATGTCACACTTAACAAAATACAGCTTAAAATCACAGACAAAAAAAAGAAAACCCACTAAAAAGAAACTCTGTTCTTTACCTGTATTTCCTGAAGGATATTAAAAGGGATCCAATTCATATCTCCACCCAGAGCACTTATGTTCCCTTTACTTCCATCCACATATAATTCTCCAAAGCATCATCCACGGCCACAGAATGTTCCTTCCCTATCTTTCTCCCACACAGCTTTCACTGTCTCTTCCATGTTCAACTCCTTCTTTCTCAACTCTTTATTGTATGGATCTACTTAACCGTTCTAGCAAACACCTTCTCTTCATCCCTCCTTTCAATCCAGTCTCTGATTCTAGGAACAGGCAAGGACCAGATGAGGTTGGGGATTATAATGGCAGAAAAGGGAAAATTGGACCAAAAATGACAGCATTCTCGTTGGTGGGCAGAGTGAGAGAGGGACATCCCTAAAGATTCCTGTGTTCATAATTTGTATCCTATCAGATATGGACATAAAAATAGAAATATTTTATTCCATACTCTGTATTGATTGCAGCTCAATGTATCATTTGGTTCATATATTACTGGATGTTTGTGGTGTTGTATCTATAACTGACAATCATTATTACCTTTCTTATTTATAAATATGTCCCATGAGTGTGTTAATAGTGATAGGACATAAGATTTTAACCCCAAATTGTGCTTTTTAATATAAATGTAATATTTAAAGAACGGGCTTTTGGAGCCCATGCAAAATTTTAAATACCTATTCTATTTCTTTGATAACACATTTTGTGGAAAATCAGGAAATAACAGAAACAGATATTTCTCTTGATATCACCGTCATTGTGTGATCTCATGTACCTCTATGACAAATATTGGTTGGCCTCCCATTGTGTCACTTAAGGAAACTCAACATCTTTGTGCTGAGCAAGTGAAAGTTTCAAAACAGACACAATGAAAAATCGAGCATTGGATTTTGCTTCAAATCTTTTTAGTTAAGTGTTAACCGTGATCAGATTGTATCTTATTACACAAGCAGATGGAATAATACTGTTGGCTATTTTTTTTAACCAGTACAAACATTAATCACTGTGTGTACCTTTTCATTGGTGTCAGATTATATAAAGTATTTGTGACTAGATTAAAACAACAAGTTAGACTTTTCAGTTAGTAGCAACGGTTTCACAGGTATGTATAGCAGGTACCTTTTCTACAAAAGGTTCTAAGGTAGGTGTTGGGAGGGAGGGGGAATCATAGAAAGATGTCAGGCAAAAAACTAGCCTTCAAGGATCCTAAGAATCTATGGAGCTAATAAAACATTCCCACAGATAATTATATTACTGCGTGGAAAGTGTTAAGTGCCTTCAGAGAGGGTTAGAAGAAGTGTTCAGCGAATCTTGAGAAGAGAGGGATGACTTAGAGATGGGACGATCAAAGAAAGCTCATGGAAGAGGGCGCTGTGGACCTGGGCATCGATGGATGAGTCATATTTGGATATAAAGAAACTCAAAAGAAGGACTTTTCAAGAGAAGGGAATCTTAAAAGCAGGAAATGTTAGGTGTGAGATGGTGTTTTTTGGTCGCTCTAGAGGGAAAGGAAGCAATGAAATATGTGATTGGAAAGATAGTTTGGATCTTTTTAACACAGTTGGGGAACTTGTAGTTCTTCAGAAAGAGGTAGGGACTCAACGGCCATGATGAGCAGAGGTGTGACATAGGACTCTAGGGTCTGCCAGTGGAGGAGGGACAAAAGGCAGTCTAGGCAGAGGGACAGCAGGCACAGGGATGAGTCATGGGGGGATGTCTTGGGAATAGTGAGAACTTTGTTATGGCCGGAGTGTATGTGGAATGAGAGGGGCCGCAAGACAAGACAAGAAAGGAAGATTGCAGATAAATGCCAAAGGTAATCACATGCCAAGCTAAGGAGTTTGGTGTTTACCCTCTGCAGACACAGGAGCCAACAGAAGGTTTGTAAGTAAGGTAGCTCTGTGGGCAGGGTGGAGCCTAGGCTAGCAGGGATCAGCTGACTTTTTCTGTAAAGGGCCAGATCATAAATATTTTAGACTTTGTGGACCACGTATGGTCTCCGTCGCATATCTTTTTTTTTCCTTTTCTCTTAAATTCTTTCTTTCCTTTTCTCTTTCTTAAGTTCTTTCCCTCCTTCCTTTTTTTTTAACTTTTTTTTTTTTTTTTTTTTTTTAATGTCAAGACCATTCTTTGCTCCTCTGGCCTTGCAAAACGGGGCCTCAGCTGTCTTTGGCCCACTGGCGATGAAAAGACAGAAGTAGCAGTTAAAAATCGAACACAGGTAATTGTGCCGAAGAGGGCCTGGTCTAAGGCAGTAGTGATAGAGATAGTGGTGAGGAGATGCATGGGGATGGATCTGAAATAGAATTAGTCTCAGCAGTTGTTTGACTCTGGGTAATTAGGAAGAAAAGGAAAAATCAGGTATGATTCTGAGGCTCCTCGCTTGAAAGACTAGGTAGTGGAGCTGGTGTTACTTCATACCAAGACTACGGGGGAGTTTTGAGAGAAGATGGATTCAGTTTTGCAGCTGCAGAGTTTGATGTATCTGTGGGTCATTCAGGGAAAGGGTGTCTGGGGACAGTTGGCTCAGTGGGTCTGAGGCCCAGTTCCCTCCCATCCAGGCCATGTGCCTCACAGGGAGTCTCTGAGGTAATAGATTTGAAATTATGGAGTGTCATGTAAGTCTACAGGACAGGAAAGAGCTGGTTCTTAGGAAGCTCAGACCAGCAGCAGGATTTGAGATGAGTTAGAGAGGCCAAGATTGGACCTGGGAAGGTCCAATGTAGGAAGCTCTTGTGATATCTAGGGAAGAGGAAGTAGTGTCTCAGATTGAGTGGCGGCAGTAGAACAGAAAGAAGGCGGCAGATGGGAAGGAAGTATGGGGCAGAATCTCGAGGACTTGGCAGCGCTTGCATGGGGGAAGAAAGAGGCTTTCTGTGAGTATAGTCCTCAAATTGCAGTGTCGTGGGTTGACGCCACCTCTAGTCTGTTCTTTTTCTAGTTCTTATCTTAGAAACCTAACAAAGTGACTGAAGCTTACAGAGCATATAATCTGACTCCTTTCATAGCTTTCAATTTTTATAAATATCCCCTTTTAGAGTACAGTAGAGGATGGCCATGTGCCACCTGCAAAACCCTTTGTGTAACCTTCATTACAGAAAAGGGAAATGTCTAAAGAACAGTAGAATACTCTGTAAAAGAATTTTTAAAAGAGATTTAAGGTTTGGGAACTAGGTTACATCTTAACCAAGGGCTTTAAAATTGTCTGTAAGCCTAAGGTATGCTCACGATCAAGGTAAACTTGCATGTTGTCAGCCTCCCTGTAATGTGTCACACTGGATCTCAGCAGTCGCTCGTGGCCTTATTTTAGCTCATCTTCCTGGGAAGTGTGCGTGCCATTGAGATATGGTAACTCTGTACATGTGTCTTCCCAGTGCATTTAGCTGCTGTGTTAAAACACATATATAGCCACCTCTGTCCACAATGCACTCACCCTAACGCTCAAGATGCTTGGCAGCTAGACTAGAAAGGGCACAGCACCTTTTTTGTGTCTGTTTGGCAATTAACCATTCACTGGCTTTTTTTGTTGTAACATGCACTTCCTTTCTCTTGTTTTCATTCAAGCTGTGTACGCCATGGAAATTAATGTGGAGAAAGACAAACAAACAGGAGAGACCAAGATTCTCTCTACATCCACCATTGGCCCAGAGGGGGTCCATCAGAGAGGAGTCAAAGTCTTTGATGATGGTACCAAAGTAGTGTATGAGGTGCACTCAGGAGGCACCATAGTAGAAAACGGAGTGCACAAATTAAGCTCAAAGGATGTAGAAGAGCTTATTCAGAAGGCTGGACAATCAAGCTTAAGAGGAGGGTACGTGTCAGAAAGGACTGTGGTTGCAGATGGGAGCCTCAGCCACCCTAAGGAACATATGCTCTGCAAAGAAGCCAAGTTAGAAATGGTCCATAAGTCTAGGAAAGATCATACTTCTGGGAACCCAGGGCAGCAGGCTCCAGCCCCCAGCACTGAAGGGCCGGAGGCAAACTTGGATCAGCCCGTCACCATGATTTTCATGGGCTACCAAAATATCGAGGATGAAGAAGAGACGAAGAAGGTGCTAGGCTATGATGAAACCATCAAGGCTGAGTTGGTCCTCATTGATGAAGACGATGAGAAGTCATTGAGGGAGAAGACGGTGACAGATGTGTCCACTATTGATGGAAACGCAGCTGAGCTGGTGTCCGGGAGACCCGTCTCAGACACCACAGAGCCCTCATCCCCCGAAGGGAAGGAAGAAAGCCTGGCCACGGAGCCAGCCCCAGGTACCCAAAAGAAAAAGCGCTGTCAATGCTGTGTTGTCATGTGACCACTTCTTTCTTCCCTTTTCTTCTGGGCAGCCTTTGTGCTCTCCACCACTTACGTAGACCTCCCTGTACCACTAACTGCGATACTGTGAACTGGAAGCAAACACCTGCCTTGCCTTGCAGTTGGATTGCTTTGATCCCTCTTATTTTTTTCCCTTTCGTTTTTTTTTCTCCAGTTTCCTCAGCTCAGAGACAACGTGCATGTGTGTGCTTCACTCTTTCCAAGAACTTGCTTTTCCTCTAAACCTTTCCTTGTGTCTTCAAGAGGGAATCGGTTCCTTACTGCTCGATTGGAATGGACTCTTCCTAGCAGCCAGTGATCTAGTAGCCTTAATTCACTTGACTGGAATTGAATCCATGGGCATCGGGGGTTTCATTTTGTCGTGTGTTCCTATCATGTAGTCACACATCACCACGTCACTGATTTCTCACTTGCCTCCCTTGCTGTGGATCCTTGCTTTTATATCTCATGTGGCAAAATGCTATGGGCTCTAGCCAGTTGCTAGCGTAGCCAAAAGTAGACCTTACTTAGTCTGTCCAATCTAGGGTGATGCTTTCTGCTGCCTTATATAAGCTTCCAGGTTACAGTATTGTGCATCTCTGGCTTTCTGTTAAAACAAATGAAATTGATGTAAAAGAAAAGAACCCAGTGCTTGTCATAACTGAATTGTAGGGACTGATTCCATAACCTGCCCATCAGCAGCTGTCTCTCTTTCTATGACTTAACTGATGGACCCTTTATATAAGAAGCACCATTTTTAACTTTCTAAGGACATGAAACAAGCATTGTTTTGAGCATCAGCTGTGATCTCCAAAGTTAGGCGAACCCATGAGCCTTGCTTCTATTCTCTAAAAAAAAAGAGTGTAAATTTTTATATTGTTTTCTTTTTCACGGATATTTTCTGATCATGTTCATCTGTTTTCAACGAAGGGGTCATTTTGAGGAGTTTCTCTATAGTGACCATATTTCTAAAACAGTCCTTCTGACCTACAGTGGTTGCTGTGATGCTTCCGCTCCATTGTGGACGGTGCTGTTCCTGAATTAACTCTTCATCTCACCCGCCCCATTGATTCCAGAGCCTTCCATCTGGGCTCTTTTCTTTGTGTCCCCATGAGAAAGAGAATATTTCGCGTACCATCACCGTGTAGGTTTACCCACCCCACAGAATTAAACTTTAAAATGTAAAAAATGTTTAAAAGATGAAGAAAGACCTATCTTCTCACCTTAAGTATTCTAATTCGTTCCACAAATACTGATTAAGTGAGTGGCACATAGCTGAGCTTCTTCAAGCATTGTTTCTTCAACTTCTGAAGATTCCAGAACATCAAAGGATGGTTTTTATCTAGAACACAATGAAAAGTTCTTTAAATTCTTAGCATTCCCCCAAAGCAAAGAGCCACAGGTATAATAAAACCAAAGGGAAGCAATATAGTAAAATAATAATAGAGTAGTGAAATAAAGCTGTAACATTTGAATTGATTTTTTTTATTTTTTGCGGTACACGGGCCTCTCACTGTTGTGGCCTCTCCCGTCGCGGAGCACAGGCTCCGGACGCACAGGCTCAGCGGCCATGGCTCATGGGCCCAGCCGCTCTGCGGCATGTGGGATCTTCCCGGACCGGGGCACAAACCCGTGTCCCTTACATCAGCAGGCGGACTCTCAACCACTGCGCCACCAGGGAAGCCCTGAATTGATTTTAAAACAGAGATATCTTTTAAGTTTTTTGCCCGAATGTTCATAGCATTATTGCAGATAATTCACAAAATTATCTACGTTCCATAGAACCTAGTTTCAAAAAACATATGGTAAGATGTACTACATCAAGTTTAACTTCTGTGGAAAGTAGATGAGGGAAAAGTAAGGCGACCTTGAGAGAATTTTATTACAGAACCAACTCAATTTGTCCTAAATAGCTATCTTAGTGCTAAATCTATTATTATTTTTAATTTTTTAGCTTTAAATTATATTTATTCCAATTAAAAGGGGGAAAACCAATATTTTTTAATTTTCAAAGTTAATCTTTCCCAAATAATTACATTTTTAACGAGCACAAAGTAAGTCATTTTATCACCAATATATAAACCAAAAAAAGTTAAAGAAGGAAAAAAATAACGAGCTAAGTTCTACTTTCTAAGATGATTCCATCCATGGCTTGGTTTTGAACAGCTGAGGGAATTATCTCTAAATCTCAGGTTCAGCAAAGAAGCTTTTTTTGAATAAAACTGTTCTATTATCTAGAAATAATATCTGGTTTTGCTGCCTATAAACTTTCAGCTTCATGCTCCTCAGCAAATGGTCATTTTAGCATAATTTAAAGGTTAAAAAAAAAAAGAAGAAGACATTCCAGAGAAACCTATTTACAGCGAAAAAGAAAGCAGCTTCAATGTTTTGGACAATCTCTGATTTTAATAATTTATTTAGAAACAATCTAAAAGTTTCCCATAGCTTATCCTATTTTTACTCATTTGGGGATGAAAAGACTATTCAGTTTGAGTTTTTAAAAGCACAGTTAGTGAGTGGAATGATAGAATTTAGCCTTGGGCGTACTTTTGATAAACAGAACCAGAGTCTTTCAGGACAGATCATTCCCTGACTTACACTTCCATCAGTGAGTTAGTTTCTCATGAATAAAATGGTCTTTACCTCTCACTACAAAACCACACGTGAGATTTAAAAGACCAATGATAATATGCGCTCTCATTTATCAATAATTAGTATAGGGATTAGCAAATTATATGAGAGTTCTCTCTCTACTTTTACTGGTAAAGCTTATCATTTAAATGGTTTTTCAAGTAAGATGTGTTACGTTTATTAAAATGATGTGTGGCCACAGTAAACGAAGGTGTGTTTGAATATGGCGTATGTATTTGTATAGCTTGCCTCATTTTCCTATTGCAGTGGGAGGTTCAACTTCAGCCAGTGCTTTTACGGGATGAGACCTATAATCCCATCTACAGAGAAAAGGAACTACCCTTCATAGTGAAAATATAAACAGAGTTGTGACTGTGAAGATTCTGCCTTCCCTGCTGGTACTGGCATTGTCTCTGTAAACACTTTACTATGTATGGTATCACGCCCTTCAGAAATACAGGGTATTGACTTACATCACCAGACTAATTAGAGAATCAGTAATAAAGCTGCAAAACCATGATCATTTTTGAGCTCATGGTTAGTTGGACTTTCTTTTCAAATCATATACTCAGAACCCTTTAAATGGAAAGAGGAGAAAGAGGGAAAAGAGGGTCATTGCATTTGCTTAAAACAGGTTCTCAATGGCATGGAGTTAAAGATCCTTTAAGAGTTAAAATGATAAACCTTAGATATCCTGAAAAATCTTGATGACTTGTATACCCTTGACTTTTTTTTTTCTCTTCGATGTGCAGTAGGACAAAATTAAGGGGTTTTCTTTTTTTACCTTGTGCCTCGTTTACCCACAATTATATTATGTTCCTTATATAAGCAAAATCATTTGCCTCTAAAAGTGATTTGACAGTGTCCAGCGACATCACTCAATATTGGCAGTAGAGAGGACGAGGGGCTAGGGAATTCTTTTCTGGGTAAACCTCAAACATGGTTTCCTAAAATTATTCAAAGTCTTTCAGAAAACTCAAATTCTAGAATTCATTTGCTTTGACTCTTTCTGAAATGTTAATGACGCGTTATCTGCTTCAGATTCCCACCTAGTCCATTTTACTTTCTGGTGATAAATGTTTTTCCTACATGCAAGGAGGCTTTTTATTTTGGTTAGGGGCGAGTTTTTATAAAAGGGGGAAACCATCTCTATATAATTTCCTAGAGTTACGATATCGTCTCTGGAGCAAAATGTTGAGGCCAAGTCTGAAAACAGCTTATTTCTTTTCACTTCCTGCAGAACATCATTTCAAGGGACCACAGAACATCCTTGACAAACACCATTTATTTAATGCCAGTGAACCAGTGGGTAGCAAAAGAGGTGGCGGGAATATGGCGATAGAGGCAAAAACTGAACCACTAAACAAGTTCTTCCTTTTTAAGAAACTAACCCTGTCAATGTAAAACACAGATGAACATAGACAGAATATGCACGGAGGATTTCTTTTGTTCTTACTTAAAATCTAGAAGCTCAGCCATCTCTGTTTGTCACCAGACCCAATTGTGGAGTTTAACCCACCTGTGGAGTTTAACCCACCAAAGGGCCCATTCCTTGTGGGAATATTCTCATCTCCTGCAGTGTTATTTTGTTTACAACAAAAACCATTCCAAGGCGAGAGCAGTTTTATGTTGTACTTTCGCGACATGTACCTTCATTATTGAAACCATGAGTTCTCAGCATAGTTAAAAGTTTCAGAAACTGTGTAAATATGCAATCTTTTAGAAGCGCCTCAGTTTATTAATCAAGGTATATGTAGCTCCACTGATTAGGATAGAGCCAGAAGGTATCTTTTGTCTTATTGGATAGTACAACCCAGTAGGTACACGGAGTGATGGTATATATCGCAAAACATCTCCAAGTAATGCACAAGATGGCATCTGGGATTCCTGCTGCCAGTTCGCCTTCATTGTGTAGACCTCTTCTGGTCTAATCAGGAAAACTTCCCTGCATTTTCTAGGGAAAAAGAAAAATCCATCTCTTATGAGGAGCGCGATGCTGTTATGTGTCTCTATTTTCATAGCTTCAGCAAACCACATGATAAAATCTCCATTTTAAAACCAAAATACTTATTATTTGAATGTAGAAAAGGCTAGAATAAAGATTACATCCTGAATGTTTCAAAGAGCAGTTTTCCTGGGGATCCTTAGACCAACCTCATCCCCTACCCCTTAATTTTTATATGACTTAAATAGGCCTCTGTGTCCCCTCTCCTCTCCAGTCTAAAATAAAAAGGTCGGAACTGTAGCACAAAAAAACTTGCTTTCAATGTGAAAATATAATGTATATCTTTGGGGAACCACAAACTTTCTGCATCAAAGATCTGGA